TCCCAAATCCCCACTGATTTATCCCAAACTCCCACTGGTTTCTCCCAAATCTCCACTGGGGAGGGAGTTTTCTCCCAAATCTCCACTGATTTTTCCCAAACCCCCACCATTTTTTCCCAAACCCCCATTGGTTTCTCCCAAACCCCCTCTGGTTCATCCCAAATCCCCACTGGTTTTCCCCAAATCTCCACTGGTTTCTCCTGAATTTCCACTGGTTTCTCCCAAACCCCTACTGGTTTCTCCCAAATCCCCACTGTTTTTTCCCAAACCCCCATTGGCTTCTCCCAAATCCCCACTGGTTTCTCCCAAATCCCCACTGGTTTCTCCCAAATCCCCACTGATTTTTCCCAAACCCCCACCATTTTTTCCCAAACCCCCTCTGGTTCATCCCAAACCCCCTCTGGTTCATCCCAAATCCCCATTGGTTTTTCCCAAATCCCCACTGGTTTCTCCTGAATTTCCACTGGTTTCTCCCAAATCCCCACTGTTTCATCCCAAATCCCCACTGTTTTTTTCCCAAACCCCTACTGATTTTTCCCAAATCCCCACCAGGCTGAAGGTTTCTCCAAGGTGACCAGGGTGACAATCAGGTCACCCGGTGTCCACAGCTGTTTTTTTGGGCAGAATTCCCTCATTTCCCGCTCCTCCCTCTCTGCTGCACCCACACCCCACCCCTGGGCATCCCCATCTCACTGTCCCCCATCTCTGTCCCCGCAGGTCCCTCCAGCCATGCCTTGGGCCACCATCCTGATCCTGGCCGGGCTCTGCRGGGCCTCGCTGGGCCAGTACAACGAGGAGGAGGACCTGGCGTGGCTCCAGTACTACCTGCGGCAATCCCGCGTCTCCTCCTACAACTACATCCCCTACTACGAGGAGGAAAGCCCCGCGTACGCCTACTCCTACCCCTCYGGGCCCGACACGGAGCCCGAGCCGGAGCCAGAACCGCTGCAAACCCCGCCCTGGCGCTGTCCCCAAGAGTGTGACTGTCCCCCCAACTTCTCGTCGGCCATGTACTGCGACACGCGCAACCTGCGCTACCTGCCCTTCGTGCCGTCGCGGATGAAGTACGTCTACTTCCAGAACAACCTCATCGCCGCCATCCAGGAGGGCGCCTTCGACAACGCCACCGAGCTGGAGTGGCTGGCGCTGCACAACAACCAGATTAGCAGCGACAGGGTGGGCAAGAAGGTTTTTGGTAAATTGAGGCGTTTGGAGAGGCTCTACATGAACAACAACAACCTGACGCGGCTGCCCAGCCCGCTGCCGCGCTCGCTGAGGGAGCTCCACCTCTCCTACAACCACATCTCCAAGGTGCCCGCCGGCGCTCTGGAGGGGCTGGAGAACCTCACGGCGCTCTACCTCAGCCACAAYTTCATCTTCGAGATGGGCGCCTCCCTCAAGGGGCTGAAATTGTTGATTTTGGCCGATCTGAGCTACAACAACCTGAGGAAGGTGCCCGACGGGCTGCCGGCGTCCTTGGAGCAGCTGTACCTGGAGTACAACTACATCAACACCATTCCTGATGAGTATTTCCAGGTGTCACCAAGGCTCCTGTACCTCAGGATGTCCCACAATGGYCTGACCAACCAAGGGCTGTCCAGCAACACCTTCAACAGCAGCAGCATCCTGGAGTTGGACCTGTCCTACAACCGGCTGAGGAAGATCCCGCGYGTCAACACCAACCTGGAGAATCTCTACCTGCAGGGGAACCGGATCGACGGTGAGCGGGGGAA